CCGTCTGACCTGGTGTTTGGGCAGCATCTAGTCCTGCCTTATTTCCTTCTTTCTCCTTGGTAAGGAGGCTCAAACAGAAATAAGAAGAAGAAAACAGATCTGTTTTTTTTTTAAGAGCAAGAGCTGTTGATTCAGATGAACCAGTTGCCAATTTCCATAGTCACATATATCTGACTTTCCTGAATTCACTTAATACAAAAAGGCAAAGAAATATTTTTTGGATCCTACTCCTTTCTTTTGCTTAGTCTCATTGACTTGGTCCAGCTGAACTCAGAAATAATTACCTGCTCCGAGGCAGTGGTTAATAGCACAGGTTTCTGAATCCCACCACTATTTGTCAGCTCTGTGACCTTGGGTAAGTTACAAAATGTCTCTGAGGATGTTTCTCAAACGCTAAAATGGGGATTAAATGAAGCAATGTGTGCAAAGCGCTTAGTACAGGGCCCAGCATTTAACAAGCAGTAGGCAGGGATCATTCTTAAAGCTTTTAGGATTTGGAAGCTAAAGGAGACTTCATTCACCGAGGCTAAGTTCTAGCTGTGGCTGAAGATATTGAGACCTGCAGGGGTGGAGTGATGTGCCCATTTGGGACCAGAAGGCATGGCTGGTGTTTTGCCCACTGCTCTGTCCACCCCACCCCCAGGCACCCACCATCAGATCTTGGCTTTGGAAGGCACCAGTCTGGGCACTATGACCCTTCCTGGATTCCTTTTACTGTCTCTCCATTTCTGCCTATGGACAAGCCACCTAGCAGCTCTGCCCTGAGAATTCAGCTGGAGGGAGAGGGAGCTGATTCAGGGAGGAGCAAGGTGTCGGGGGTGGCTCTGCCTGTCGTTCCACTCTGGAGGCAGCTGGGGTGGCTGGTGACAGCAGGTGGGTCTTAGCATGGTTGGAGGAAGATACCCCTTCCTCCGCTCAACCTCCACAGCTGCAGGCCCAGGAGACAGGATCAGGAATTTTTTTTTTTGATCATTGTCCTCTTTTGAGTAGATGCTTCACTGTTTCCTGAGAATATCCCAAGAAAGGCTTGAGTTCTAAGAATCAAGGATCCCAAAAGAGTTGTCTCCATTTATAGGTGGGGAATAAGACATCAGGGAGAGAGCGCCAGACCCTGGAAAGACAAAAAGAGTATATCTGGCCCCTCCGCAACCACATTGGCCCTTGATAACTGCTTCTAACTGGATTTAGATCCACTGTGGACATCTTGAGTACAAACTGAAGAACTTTGAAGCCCAAGAAATGAAGACAGCTTTGGGAAGCATGATGAGAGGAAACCAGGGCTCAGGCTATCTGAGACATAACCTGTGCCTCCTAGAGCAGGACCTGGCTGGGGCAGTGATCACTGAACCTCCACTCACACCCATCCCACTTCTGTGAACTGGACAGGTGATGGAGGGAGGGGAAAGGAATAGAACAGAATTACTATTACTACATAAGACCTTGGTCATTTCATGCCCATGCTGGAGAAGGCCTCAGGCAAAAAAAAAAAAAAGGCAGTTTCCTAGGAGCCAGAGGGTCAGTTCAAAGGAGAAATACCCTCCTAATTCTACAGGAACCATCCACTTCCCACCGCACATCATCGCTGTGAGTGATATTAAGCAGCAAAGGGGCTGGGGGCTGAGGCCCTTTCCTTTCCACAATCTTGTCTCTGAAATCAGCAGCGTCAGTTTCCCTCACTCCTTTTGTTCTCAGCTAGGGCAGGCTGCCGGAGAAACAGAAACCTGGGGCATGGGGCTGGGTCTCATTATTATTAGGTTGATCTCTGTGAAATTGTTTTATATGAACACTTTAGCCAACAAAAACCACTGTTCCGCATCAACTTACTGTTACTGAAAGGAAGCATAATAGCTACCATTAATTGAGCAACTAGATTATGCCAGACCTTTCTGCATATCACTGTGCTTCCCCATAACCCAGAGGTAGAAATTATTATCCAATTTCAGATGAAGGAACTGAGATAAGAAAAGATTAGAAAACTTGCCCAAGTCCACTCAGTTACCAAGTGGTAGAGATTGGTTCACTTTTGTGGCTGCCTTTGCTTATTCTGCAGAATAAGGGTTAAAAATATACTCTGGACTCTGACATACAAGAGTTTGAATCTTTGGTCCACTGATAACTATCTGTGTGACCTCAGGTAGGTTTTTAACCCTCTAATCATCAGTTTTATTAGTAAACTGGGACAACAATAAAAGGTACGTCATAGCTTTGTTGCCAGGACTAAATAAAATAACATCTGTAAAACACTGTGTTGCTGCGCCCAGAACAAGGGCAGTGCTTGAATGGCAGCTATTGTCACAATTCTCTTCTCCCTCATGAGCACATCACTGCCAGGGCTTCTTGCTCCTGCTTCTTTCTTCTGTCCTTTTTTGGAATGAAGCCTTTTCTCTGTAGCTTCTTCCAGGCCATCTCCTCGCATTTGAGTACCTCTTGAGGAGTGGTACAGAATGGAGAGACAATGGGAAAACAGCCTCCCGCCTCTAGCCCTGGGTGGAGGGAGGCCACCTCACTGAGGGTAGCCCCATCTTCACCCTAACTCCAGCTTGGAGCTCTGGTGGGATTTTACTCAGTGAAGGGACTGTCCTGCTCATTCTTCTAAACCTTCTCCCAGGGAATCCTGGGCACAGAAGGGACCCTTCTGAGCTGGAGGCGCCCTCTAAGGACAGGGTGAAAGGCAGCCACCTCGCGGGGTCCCTGCTGTGGTTTACTTTGCTCCTCCAAACCCACCCTCCAGTCAGCTGGGCCACTCTCCTAACTGGGGGGAGGCTGCAGGTGATGGGCCTTGGCTCACTCAGGGCCACCTGGCTGTCCTGAATTCCACCTACCGCTCCCTTCTCTTTCCTGAGTTGGGAACACAATTGTGTCCATCTGACCCTGAACTTTCCTTTTTGCCTGCCGCTGTCCAGGAGGGACACGCACACCAGTGGGCGGCTCCCTCGTCTCAGTACCCCCACGCTCTCCTCCCACCCCACCCTTGCGGGGTCTTGGCCCACTCACCCCACAAGTTCCCCCCTGCCCCGCCCCCAGGAAAGCGCCTGCTCCAAGCCTGACGACGACATTCTAGACATCCCGCTGGACGATCCCGGTGCCAACGCGGCCGCTGCCAAAATCCAGGCGAGTTTCCGGGGCCACATGGCGCGGAAGAAGATAAAGAGCGGAGAGCGCGGCCGGAAGGGTCCGGGCCCCGGGGGACCGGGCGGAGCTGGGGGCGCCCGGGGAGGCGCGGGCGGCGGCCCCAGCGGAGACTAGGCCAGGTGAGGCGGGCCGCAGGCTCCCGACCCCGGACCCCTGAGAGCGGCCCCCCTCCGCCTCCGAAGGAGCAAGGAAGACTAAAGGCGGCTGGGGTGGAGAGGGTGTGGAGTGGGGTGTGGAGGGAGCCAAGGATGGGGGTCTCGAAATCTGAGACGCGCGGTGGGTGGGTGGGAGGAGGCAGAGGGGTGCATCGGGTTCCAGAGCTCACCTGTTTCTTTCTCCGCCCTCCCTTCTGCCTCGCCCTGGACCGAAGAACTGAGCATTTTCGAAGGTAATGACTAAGACTCCGAAGCAGCGGGGTGGGACCCCTGAGTGGGAGGAAAGGACCAAATCACCAACACTTACCTCCGCCCGCCCTCAGCCCCTTTCAGCCAGGGAAAGTGCACCTGCGCCTGCGGGTCTTTTAACACTTAGAGACACCTGAGGCTGTGACGGGGACACACCTGGACCAACACAGACTCTCAGTCACCCCCACTTGGCGGCACAAGCCCAGCCAGGGCCATAAGCACCCTGCGGCTCACACGTGTACTGGCCATGGGCTCATGTCAGCTCAGTGACTCCGGGTGGGCGGTTCCGGGTGACCGGGGCTCTGCTGCTCCCCGCCCTAGTGTCCTGGTTCAGGAAGGATGGGGGAGAGAAAGTACGAGGGGAGAGCAGATCTTCTCTCTCCTCAGTTCCCGAAGAGAGATGGATGCCGCGTCCCCTTCGCAGTGACGAGACTTCCCTGCCGTGTTTGTGACCCTCTCCTTCCCACCAACCTGCCAGCTTCAGGAGCCTTCTCTGCGTCCCCAGAGACCCCCTCTCCCAAGCAGGCTCCGTGGAGGAGTCGCTAAGTCCGTCCTCTTTTAGTTAGTTCTCCAGTCTAGTGTGGTCCCCATTCGCCCTTCCTCCCCACCATAACCCCAACCCCGTGCTCCCGAATCTTCCTTCTTTAGCTTCTCGCCCACCTCTCCCCGCACCCAGCATGCAGCTGTGCCTCCGCAGCCTCGGTGCGCTTCCCTTCGCGCACTGCGGAGGGCGCCCTAAGCATTGCCCAAGGACACACTTAAAAAAAAAAGTCTCCATTCTGTGCGCAGCTAAAGGGGGCGTCCTGCGTCTCTGTGCTGTTCTCTCCCCACTCTAGCCCCAGAATTTCGGATCTGGGGAGAGGAGAGAGGGGAGTAGGGGTTTTATGGTGTCGGATACCCCTTGCTGTGATCGGAAGGGAAGTCCCTATTTCACACCCCAACCCCACGCCTGCCTGTAATCTGCCCTCCTCTGTCCCCAGCGCACCCGGAGAGCCGCCGCTCCAGCTCTCTGCTTATTTAAGCAAACGCCGAGCGCCGGGGAGGCTCGGTAGGAGGAGTCTTCCGCGGTCCCGCCCCTGCTCCTGCTGGCCCCGCCCCCACCGGGCTCCTGGGGCTGTGGCCGGAAGGTTTTTTATCTCCGTGTGTGCATGTGACCGTGCTGGGTTGGAATGTGAACAATAAAGAGGAATGTCCAAGTGTTCAGAGGGTGCCAGAGGGGAGGGAGTTTGGATGCACAAGGCCATCACTCGAAATGTGAACAAGTCTCCTTGGAACAAACCAAAAAGTGGAGAGGGGGAAGGGAGAAGAGGGACCTAGGCTAGAACTACCCCTAGGAACCAATGAAACTTAACTTCTTGCAGCATCACCTCTGGGACTTCAAGCCCGCTCCTTCCTTTACCGGTAATACTCCTTGGGCCGCCTAGAGGAATTTGTTATACCCGCAGAAAGAAGAGGGAGACAATATGGCACCCAAAGGCTTTAATTCTTTGTATTCCCCCTCAGGAATCCAGAGAGAAATCAGACAATTGTAGGGAGCTTGGACTTGGTGGTTGTCACAGTGCTGGCAGAGGGGGCGCTCTCCAGGAGCCCCTTGCTAGAATCAGCCCTCACAGAAGTTTGCTCTGAAATCCCAGGTGCAACGGCATCCTCCCTGATGGATGTAGGCAATTGTTAGTGAACGCTGGAAGCATCCCTCAGAGCACGCCTTTCCTCTGACCCAGGGACTTTTCATTTTTACTGTGCATGGGAATCATCGTGGAACTTCGGTTGAAATGAAGCTTCCAGGCCCCATCACCCTCTGGCTCGCGCGCGCGCACACACACCCACACACACACAGATTCTGCTTCTGGAGGGATAGGAAGTGGCCTGAATCTGAAGGTTTAACACACTCCGGTGATTTCTGTCCAGGTAATCTGAGGACCACATTTGGAGAAACATTGCTCTGGTCCCTATTCTGACTCCACAGCTGACCCCTAAAGTTGATGACAGGTTGCTTTTGCCTCCTTTCCTTACTGCCCCACACAGATGAACCAAACTCAGCTGAGTGCTCAGGACAGCCTCAACACCCGGCCTCCGCCTCCTGCCCATGTGTACAAAAGGCCTTGAAAAGTGAAATGTAAAAATTCTCCTAAGTATGAGGAGAATGAGGGCAGTTCGTGAACCAAACCCTCCACTGTGTACACTTGACTCACATGCTCTAATACCTGGGCTGTCCTGCCACCCCCACCACCAAAGCCCAGGGCTGAACAGAGCCCCTCACTCTGACCCACCCCAGAGGTGTCAGAGTTGGAGGGCTGAAGTCACCAGCACTTAACCCAAGTCATTTCCTCCCACTCTGCCCCAGCCCCCAGCCCTCCTGCTCACCGTAGGTCACTACCCCCATATATCTCCTTGCGCTTCTTCCGCCTCTCTTTCTGGAACCTTCTCAGGCAGAACACAGCAACTGACAGGATCAGCACACCCAGGAGCACCCCAATCAAAGCCCCAGCCACTCGGCCTTTGGAAGGGTCTAAGGAGACACAGGATCCTCAGAGCTGCAGGCCTTCCTTGGTGCCTCAGATAGCGTCATGCAGGCCCCTCACCCAGGCCTGCCAGCCCAGCCTTTGCCCAGCACCCCCTACCAGTCACAGAGAGGGTCAGCTCACAGGATGCACTGCCCATCTGGTTGGTGGCCACACAGCGGTAGGTGCCCGCAGATGCCAGGGAGAGATTGGTGAGAATGAGCTGGCCAGTCACCTCATCTAGAGGGTAAAGAGAAAGCGTTCATCACTTATTCAGCTCCCAGGGAGCTATACCATGACAAAACCGTGTTTCATTTCATCCTTACAACAGTCCTGTCAGGAAGGGACTAGGCGGCTCATTCTAGTAGTGGGGAGACGGGCTCAGAGGGGGAAAGTAATTGTCCAAGGTGACCCAGAGAGGAAGCGCTGAAGCCACTGCAACTTCCGTGCCCGTCCCACCCTACACAACTGGCTTTTCGGGGCCGGGGGAGACTGCACACACTTGAGGGGTTCAGAAACCGCAATGGAACTGGGGTGATGTGCCTACTGGCTGATGTCAGATTTTTGGTTTCAGGGAAAAGGTTTGATTGCTAGAAACTGTAACCTCTGGTGTGGCTGTAAGCTGACACAAATGATTTTCTAAGTTGCTTACCTTCTTGTTAGAAGGAAGACCGTACATCAGGAGGTGATCTGGGGGCTCTCTGGATGGCTAAAGGGGCTTGCTGGGGCTGGGGCTGGGATGAGAGCCAGGGCACTGGAGCCAGTGCGGAGAGGTTGAGAAGCCAAGGCTCTTAGCCAGTTATGTGGTTCCTCCAAAACTATTGGCTAAATGATTCAAGCCAGTCCCTGCTACTCTGCCCCAGTCTCCTCTCTAGGAATTCTGGAAATGATTTGTGACCCTTAAGAAATCTTAAGATTTTTTAGCAGGGGGAAGGTAGAGCTCAGTGGTAGAGTGCCTGCTTAGCATACACAAGGTCTTGGGTTCAATCCCCAGTACCTCCACTAAAATAATAAATAAATATATAAATATGTAAATAAACCTAATTACCCCCCAAAAAGAAATCTCAAAGAAATCCCCCAAAATAGACAAGTGGGAATCACAGAATGCCCCTTGCCTTCCACTCTCTTCCAAGATATCAGGAGTACGTTTAGCTGAGAAATGCCCCCAGGACCACGCAGCCACAGACTGTACAGAAAGACAAAGGGAGCAATAAAGGAAGCCAAGGAAGAAGCAGGGAAAAGTGTAGCAGTTTGTCTCCTACCGCAGGCTTGGAACTTGTACTGTGGGTGTGTGGAGTTTCGAGCTTTGCCCAGGTCCTGAGTCCCTTCTTCCTCGGTGGCTGGGTCCTTACCTTGCACCATGCTGCCGGGAGAAGGTGGAGAAGACGATCCAAGGTGGACCCAGTTGTACACAGGCCTGGGGGCTCCCTCGGAAGAGCTGCATCTCAGTGCAGCGGAGCCCCCCACGGAGGTTTGACCGCTGTGACTGCACCAGGGGCGACTGGGGGGCACTGCAAAAATCACAGGAAGTACCTTAGCCATTTCCGACCCCCACGCCCACGAAGTGCTAGATTTCCTGCTTCCATGCTCCTGCCGCATAGTGGTCCACGAGTGTCTACACGCCACTGCGTTTCCAGGAAATGATTTCCACTATTGGAAATACTGATAGAAAATTCTTCCTCACTTTGAGCCAAAATCCAAGTAACATCCACCCATTGGTCCCAATTCCTGCCCTCTGGGCCCTCAAAGAGAAATGAAAAATCTCTTCTCCCCAGGACAGCCCATCAGATATTCGAATGCAGCTGTCATCCCACCTTCTAAGCCTTCTCTTTTCCATCTAAACATCACCAGCCTCTTTAATAGTTTCTTCAGTTTGCTCAGCTCCAAGCAGGCTCTAGTTTGGGGTGAGATGGACTCTCTGAAAACAAACTTAGTGCTTAGAGATACGGGCCCTTTTTCCTTTAACAGCCACGCCCCCTCCCTGCTGCTGACCTAGAGAGGGACAGAATCTGAGCTACAGATAGGAGGTTCCCCCAAGACAGAGCTGTTGGGGGCATGACTCAGATCCTTATCTGTGGGAAGGTTCTCTCTTGAACATTTGCTAGAGACTGAGGGAGGGGACATTTTGGTGGAGGGTGGAGCAGGGGGATGACTGCAAGACTTTGGGAAGGGGGTATTTTCCCTCGAGGTCCCCAGTGCAGTTGTGCGCTTGGGCTGGAAATCAGGACAGGGGAGGATTTATCAGGGCCAGTGCAGTCTCTCAGGATACATGGTCCCCAGTTGCCCTGCCTTACCCAGCACAGTAAGGTTGATTAGCCCCAATCCATTGGTGTAGAAATCTGGTGGGTTGTTAACATGGCAGAGGTAGGTTCCAGTGTCTGAGGGGCGGACATCAGTCAGCTTCAGGCTGGCAACACCTCCTGTGGGGGGGTTGTGAAGCAGGCTGGCCCTCTCTGCCTTAGAACCAGTTGGATACAGTTGACCATTGGTGAAGTACAGGATCTGGGGAGAAGCAGAAGACACACATACATGCCTTTTGCCACCTGGCACCAACTCTACAGTCTTTCTCAAAAGTGGGTGTAAGAGGGCCCCTCCCTTACAGCAGCTGGGAAGCTGATACTCTGAGCCAGAACCATGAAGGTCTACCTGTCCCCAGATATCATCCTTCCCCAGATACTAAACGAACTAGATTCATTGCTCTCAGCTAATTGTGGCTCTCAATAATAATAATGCAAATATTCCTGGAAGGAACAGCATTTTATCCCGGCTTAGCCTCAGTGGGTTCATTAACTGAAACTAGAGCCGCACTAATGCACTTAGGGGCTTTGGGGGAGGAAGCTGGGTATTCGGCGCTGTATATGTGATACAGACTCACCAGGCTGCAGTCCTAAGAAAATCTAGAAAAAGGCCACCGATTTTTTCACCCAAGCATACTAATCCACAAACACACCCTCTCCGACCCACACCCTCATCCTAGGTGGGCCCTCTGTTCCTGCCTCTCCCGGCCTGAGCTGCCAAGAGGCAGGAGGGTCCCCACTCTGCGCAGGTGCCCTCAGCTTACAGGTTGGGAATCGGAGATGGGCCTCCCAGGCTGTACGAAGCTCCACTCCAGGGCGAAGTTGTCTCCCACCGACGTGCTGTAGCTGCAGGTCAGCTCTGCGGTCTTGCCCAGCGGCACGCCCAGGGGCTCGGCGGGCACCTCCACCTCCACAGCCAGCCCGGGAGCTGGGGGCGCGGCAGGCACAGGCGGGAGAAGTGCTCAGATGACCCGGCCAGGCCTGGGGTGATCAGAGGCCGGGACGGGCAGTGGGGGGTGGGGGTGGGGGGCGCCCTCCCGGGGTCCAACTCCCTCTGCTCCATCCCTCCCTTCCTGAAACCTGAGGTTTCCGGGAGGGAGGAGCCGACATCCTGGCCGGGTTTGTGGGTAAAAGGACCGAGAATGGGCCAAGTCTCAGGGTGTGTTTGTCGGGAAAGGAAAACAATAGTCAGGTGATGGTTAAATTCTCCTGAGGCCCAACTCTTCTGCGGGCCTTCCTGCCTCCCTTCTCCGCCCTCCTAAGCTTCAATGCCTCCTCCTCAACCTCGCCCCAACCGCGGCCCCTGGAGTCCAGTCTCTGCCCCCCAGCTCTCACCACAGTCCGCTGGCCCCCTCCTCACCACTCAAGCAGACCCAACACAACAGGGCTCCACAGAGGAAAGGCCCTGGGAGCTGGGTCATGGCTGTGTCCTGCCCGCTGTTGGTCTGTCTGGGTGTCTGGGTCTGGCAGAAGGAAGGGAGCACCCACAGGGCAGCCTCCTGGTGCCAGGCTCTAAAGAGACTGGCTATCTCAGAGCAAACAAGGAGAGAGGCTGGGCCCTCAGGTAAGGAAGTGCTCCTCCCTCCTCCAGACCCAGTGCAGGAATCATTCTAGCCCTACTCCCTTCTTATGTCCCCTTGCCCCCAATTTCTGAAGCTGTCAGGCCCTGGGGAAAGCGTTGTGCTTGGGGTGGGCACCCCTGGGCGGGGAGGGATCAAAACGGGAGCTCTGCAGGAAAAAAAGAGTGACCCTGGAGGCAGAGGGACTTGTTCTGAGAACCTGAGCGCTGGCAAATGACGTCACACTTTGGGGCCTCACGTGGAGGTTAAGCTGCAGGCCGAGACCCCACCTGACCCCTTTGGAGAGTCTTGTTCCTTCCGAGGCCCTTCCTTTCTCCTCTGACGTCTCTTCTTTGGCACTTTTAACACCACTTGCTGAGACAGGCATCTCCATGGAAACTACAACCTCTGGCCTGTCCCAGAACCACCCCATTTCATGGGCAGAAAAACAGGGATCTGGAGGAGACTGCACTCTTGGTAGGAAAGCAGGATTGTGGCAGGATTGTGGCAGGATTGTGGCAGACACCGGCACCACATCCTGTGTCCTGCTCTCCCTCGGTCCAGGGGGCATCACTGCTGGATGGGCAGGAAGATGGGTAAAGATTCCGAAGTCTGGGGCAGGGAACACAAGTCAGGCTCCTCTCCCCAGCCCTTGAGGAGGAAGCAGGAGATGAAGTGCATGCACACCCAAGCTCTGAGCACTCAAGCTCCAGCAGAAAGTCACCAACTTCATCCCCTTGCTGCTCGGAGTGGGTAAGCATGTCCCCAGCCTCAGGCTCTTTGTGTCTCTCCACCATTGCCTGACAGCAAATGACCCTTTTAAAGACTCTAGAAGAGCCATCCCGAGCCAGTAAGCTGAGCCAGAGGCCATGTGCAGAAGCCCTTTGCGGTCCCCCGCCTGGGTAGTGTCCTCTTTGCATCATCCTGAGACTCAGCCTCTCCTGGGAATTCCAGGTTTGAAAAGGCAATTCGACGCTCTCACTTCCCATACAAACACAATGTATCTTTATTGAAGTTTGCTAAATAAAAGCAAAATCATGCATTTCAAGTTAGTTTAAAAAATACCGTACTTATCCCTCGCCCCCAAACCCAACCAGGCCAGCAGGACAGGTTATATTAACGCTGGGAGCTGGAGTGGGAGTGAAGAATGGTGTTAGATGGGGTGGGGTCCAGGCCAGGGGGGCCTGGAGGGCTTGGCTGGCAGGCCCTTCCTGGCCCCAAGGGGCTAGGAGGGTGGTAGCATTCTCAGCAGCATTCCACTCCAGTCTCAGAGAGAGAAGGCCCAGGAAGAGGGTGGAGGCTTTTCTGAATCCCAGGTCCGCTTCCTGTTCTCCTATGTTCTGGAAGTTTGGGTCTTAACTGAGATTCAGTTTCCCCAGAGTAAAGAAAGGTGTGGGCAGAGGACTGGAGGTCTGGAATGTGGCCACCCTGCCAAGATTCAGGTCTCTGTGCCGGGGATGTCCCCTACAGGAAGGAGAGAAACCAGATGGCTTAGCCAGCGAGGGGCCGAGCCATCACACCAGAGACCCAGCCTGACTCTGGGCAGGCACCATCACGGGGACAGCACCCATGCGGCTCAGAGCAGAGGAAGAGACCCCAGCAGGGCTATGGGATATTGGTTGAGGGTGGGCCCCATCTGTCCTGGGCAGCCCTGGGGAGGGCGGGACCTGACTGGAGAGGCTGGGTGTGGGGGTCAATGCACCAGGCCTGGGGGTGCCTCGAGGCAGCCGGAGGGCTCGCGCTGAGGTGACAGAGGAAAGGGTCCCATTCTTGGAGATTGTGTCTGATCCCTTGGGCCAGGGCAGGGTCCGGGGAGCGATGGCATCCTCCCTAGTCATCAAAGAAGTAATACAAGGTCAGAAGCTGGAAGAGGGGGAGGGAAGAGTTTCCACAAGCCTTGTCTTACTCACCACCACCCCCCCTTCAACACTCCTCTGTTCCCTTAAATTGCGCATAGAAATGATGTTTCAGCCACTGTCCTTCTTTCATGAGATGACAGCTGCCTGAATTCCCAGCCCCTGTAAGGGGAGCGAGGAGAGCCCCATCCTGGCAGGGACTGGGGACACTTACTTGATATCGTTGGCCTGCTCCTCTAGGGCCTTGGTCCTGCGATGGTACAGGATGACCAGCACAGCCAGCAGCCCCAGTCCAACCAGGGTGCCCACCACAGCTCCAGCAACCACAGTAGCCCCATGGCCTGGAAAAACCTTGCTGTCAGAGGGGGACTCCCAGCTGCTCAGCCGCCTTTTCCAACCCCAGTGCTGCACTGTCCCATGGCCACCACATGCATTTTCTCCCTTTGTTAGAAGAAGGTGACTGTCAAGCAGAAAGTGGTCACTGACCCAATGCTTGTATGAACATTTGATCAAGACAAGCTCTTTGTCCTGTTATAATGAGAGGCCTCAGCAGACACTCTTCTCTTGCACACCCACCCCTACCACTGACCAATCGTCTCCTTAACCACACTTACCCCTCACTGACCTGTGCTCACTTCCAGGGTCACATTGCACTGGGCACTGCCCACCTCATTGTGGGCCTTGCAAATATACACTCCGGACATGGAAATGGAAAGGTTTTTGAGGCTTAAAGACCCATGGATGGCATCTGTGAACACAATTTAGCCATCAGTCCAGGGATCCTCTTTCCCATAAAAAAAATCCCGCCCCTCCTCTGGAAGGTCCTCTTTGACGGGCTGGGAGACTCGCTGTCCGTTCCCTGATGGAGGGACAGCCGTGACAGCTGGCATGCTGGTTCTGCTCCTGGCTGCCGAACTTCCAGCTCAGTACCTGTCCCCATTTCCACCACTCAGTGTCTCCAAGTGATATCTGAGAGGAGGCTAAAGAGGAAATGATGCCCAGAAAAACCCAAACACAATTTTTACTTTTATTTCTGAATGGCAGAGCAGTGAGAGAGAAAGAAGATTGGGAGAGGAATTAGAAAACCTGGGTTTTAGGCATGTGACTTTAAGGAAATTACTTGCTATCCCTGGGTCCCAATTTCTTCATCTGTAAAGTGGGGTAATATGACCTACCTGACAGTGTTGAAAGGATTATATGAAATGATCTAATGATTTTAACAGTTAAAGTGTACTGGCTGCTCACCACACCAAAGACTGAGTGAGCTCTTTATGTGTGCTAAATTACAAAAGTTTCACAACAAATCTTTCCTTTAAGCACTAGGTAAAAAAGTTAAAAACTTTTATTATAAAAATGGTCAAATGAAAAGTAGAAAGAGGGACAAAATGAAAATCCATATACCCACCAACTTAAATTCAATAATTATTAACATTTTGCTTTACTTATTTATTTCTTTCTCTTTTTTTCTGAGACATATTATAATAAACATTTCAGCATGAAACAAAAAGTAAGGATATTGTCCCACATAACCACAAACCATTACCACACCTGATGAATTAATAATAACTCTGTGAAAGCATCAAATACTCCATATTAAAAAGGTTTCATCAATTATATCTCAGTAAAATTGAAAAAAAAAAAGTTCCAATTGCCCCCAAATGTCTTTTACAGCTGGTATGTTCAACTCAGGGCTATTGATAATCCCATTCTACAGATGAAGAAATAGAGGCACAAAATCACACACCTAGTGAGTGGCTTAGCTGGAATCTGCACGCAGGTGTTCTGGTCCCCC